GTTCGACGCGTTAAATATCGACGTTAATTTGCATGGGCGACGAAACGGGCACACGGTTCCTGGTCCGAAACAAATTTCGCGGCGAATTAACGCGGCGTAATCGACGAATAACGGTCGCGCGAAGGTACGCGGATAAAAATTTCAAAGTGAAAATCGACTCGGTAATAGGAGTTCGCTGGAAAGTTGGATTATTCATTTCCGTTGCATACGCAAACACCAGCGATTCATTTCCAATGCGAGCTGCCGTTGAATTGGAAGAGTTCTCGAACAAAAGCCGACTATCCTAACCCGATCAAAACTTTTACTTTCTTTTTATTTATTTTGTTTCGACGGATTATCCGCGTTTTTACCCTTTTGTCGGTGGGAAGATTACGGAAACACTGTAACTCGATTTTGCTTGACTATAGAACATTGAAGACTTGTTTTTAAATTTACAATGTGAACATTGAACATTGCTGATGTGGTAATTTAATGAATTTGTAAAAGACTCGACTCGTACTATTGGCTGACTATGAAGCTGCAAAGATGTGTTTTTAAATCTCCAATACGAATGTTCAATATTGTTGATTTAATTTAATAAATTTGTAAAAGACTCGACTTATGCAATTGTTGACTGTGGAACATTTAAGACGTGTTTTTAAATTTTCAATACGAATATTGAACATTGCTGATGTGGTAATTTAATGAATTTGTAAAAGACTCGACTCGTACTATTGGCTGACTATGAAGCTGCAAAGATGTGTTTTTAAATCTCCAATACGAATGTTCAATATTGTTGATTTAATTTAATAAATTTGTAAAAGACTCGACTTATGCAATTGTTCACTGTGGAACATTTAAGACGTGCTTTTAAATTTTCAATACGAACATTGAACATTATTGATGTGATAATTTAATACATTTGTAAAATTCTCAACTCGTGTAATTGTTTGATAATGAAACATTGAAGACGTGTTTTTAAATTTCCAATACGAACATTGAACATTACTGATGTGATAATTTAATACATTTGTAAAATTCTCAACTCGTGTAATTGTTTGATAATGAAACATTGAAGACGTGTTTTTAAATTTCCAATACGAACATTGAACATTACTGATGTGATAATTTAATACATTTGTAAAATTCTCAACTCGTGTAATTGTTTGATAATGAAACATTGAAGACGTGTTTTTAAATTTCCAATACGAACATTGAACATTACTGATGTGATAATTTAATACATTTGTAAAATTCTCAACTTGTGTAATTGTTTAACAGTGAAACATTGAAGACTTGTTTTTAAATTTACAATGTGAACATTGAACATTACTGATGTGATAATTTAATACATTTGTAAAATTCTCAACTTGTGTAATTGTTTAACAGTGAAACATTGAAGACTTGTTTTTAAATTTACAATGTGAACATTGAACATCGCTGATGTAGTAATTTAATACATTTGTAAAATTCTCAACTTGTATAATTATTTGACAGTGAAACATTGAAGACTTGTTTTTAAAATTACAATGTGAATATTGAACATTATTGATGTGATAATTTAATACATTTATAAAATTCTCAACTTGTGTAATTGTTTGATAATGAAACATTGAAGACGTGTTTTTAAATTTCCAATACGAACATTGAACATTACTGATGTGATAATTTAATACATTTATAAAATTCTCAACTTGTATAATTATTTGACAGTGAAACATTGAAGACTTGTTTTTAAAATTACAATGTGAATATTGAACATTATTGATGTGATAATTTAATACATTTATAAAATTCTCAACTTGTGTAATTGTTTGATAATGAAACATTGAAGACGTGTTTTTAAATTTCCAATACGAACATTGAACATTACTGATGTGATAATTTAATACATTTATAAAATTCTCAACTTGTGTAATTGTTTGACAGTGAAACATTGAAGACTTGTTTTTAAAATTACAATGTGAACATTGAACATTACTGATATGATAATTTAATACATTTGTAAAATTCTCAACTCGTGTAATTGTTTGATAATGAAACATTGAAGACGTGTTTTTAAATCTCCAATACAGATGCTCAATATTGTTGGTGCATTTTAATAAATTTGTAAATTGTACTCGTGCAATAGGTTGTCCGTAGAACAGCATGTTTTTAATGAATTTGTAAAATTCTTTAACAGAGACGTCGACTATCAATTTGCACTGTCGGGAGAGCAATTGCCCGTCGCTTCATCAATTAAATGAGAAAAAGTAACAAATCGCATGGTATTTGAATTCGCGACCACAATCGATCGCGATCGAGAGCGGGCGACAAATTATTTGGAGCACAAACTGAATGGTGGACATAAAAGCTGAATTTGTCGGGGATTGAAACGGTAATTGCGTTCGCAATGGGAAAATTAAAGCAATAGATATATTTCCGTGCAATTTTTCGTGGAAATTTATTTCAAATATTACGGAATGCGCGGAACGCAAAGAGACGATAAAATGCTGGGATGTATGGAAACGTAAACAGATGCAAGTACCAGTAGAATAAATTAAAAACGAGGTAACTGAATAAACACCGTTTGAAACATCTCTTTTATCCGTGTATACGCAACCACGACTTCAATTCCTCTTTTTTTGGTTTCGAAACTATCTCTTTCTTTCCTTCTACCGAAATATATGATACTTGTTACCGCTAGATTTAAGGGTGGTCGATATTTTTTACATGGGCTGATATTTACTTCCATTTTGTTCTTTTAACGCGGGTGTTTGATGTACTTCAGGGAATTTGTGTTTTACATCCAAATATTGCGGATATTAAATTATTAGCGTTATAATTGTTATTTAACTGCTTATCTTTCACGAAATTTGTTTTTCAGTCAAAGCTAATTTGGAAATGTTATGTACAAATGATCCGTTTGCTGGACGTGTTTAATTCGATTTCGAGATTGATGTAATAAATCCTTATAAAATTTTGATATAATAATTCGTACAATATTTTCATATAATAATTCGTACAACATTTTGATATAATAATTCATACACCATTTTGATATAATAATTCCTAAAAAATTTTGATATAATAATTCGTACAATATTTTCATATAATAATTCGTACAACATTTTGATATAATAATTCGTACAACATTTTGATATAATAATTCATACACCATTTTGATATAATAATTCCTAAAACATTTTGATATAATAATTCGTACAATATTTTGATATAATAATTCATACACCATTTTGATATAATAATTCCTAAATAATTTTCATAAAATAATTCGTATAATTTATCCTAGCTCTATCAGTTCACAATTTCAAGTTCTCTGAATCTAAAAATATTTCCAACGTCTAAAAATCCTAGGAATGTAGAATTCTTAATAGATCAAACGTTTACGTAACCTCTTACATTTTTACTTTTTACGTAAACACTGTCTTGCAGCGATGAATATTATTTTGAGAGAGAAAGGAATTTTTCATGGGTAATCTAAGAAATGAAGAGTATGCAGAGATGAGTATACAGAATCTCGTGAATGGTGAAAGTATCATGCATTTTCAGGCTATTCGAGCCGAAAGCGGTTTATTATAGATTTTACCGTACATGCCGAACAAGCTAATTTCATTTATGTTGCCAGGCTGCATCTGCGCGTCATCGGAAACGCAATTATACGCGTCGATTTCTCATTATGGACGTCGTTGAAGACAATATCGGCCGATGTAATCGAGTTTCCCTTACAATATACGCAAACGAATGCGGCTGGATAACCACTGAAACATTGTTTATTAATTACAGACAAGGTTTGTCCATATTTAGTCCTTTCAATTTTCTGTTATTCATTTTTCTGATTTCTTCTTCTCAAATATACTTTTCATATTTTTATATATTTTAGTTATTTACACACTTTTTAAAACGCTTTGCACACTGATCAAAATATTAATTAGGGAGGTAATGCAGAATGCTTTAAGTATGATACAATTTTATTATTTTTTGGATTTTATAATGTGGTGCATAGTAATGCAAATTGTATTTAATAGAATACAAGTTTATAATTTTTTAGATTTTATAATATGGTGGAGAGTCAGAATAAGTCGACAGTGTATAAAATAATATTTCTTATAACCTTAAGAGGGATGTTTTTTTTTTTGAGGTTATGAAAAAATAATTTAACACCTTGATGTAATTATATTGTCTTTGCTTTAACTTTCTCACAATCATTTTATAATATAATAGACAGTCAGGTGAATAAACATACAGTGTATAAAATGATACTTCTTATAACCTTGAGAGGGATGTTTTTTTTTGAGGTTATGAAAAAATGATTTAACACCTTGATGTAATTATATTGTCTTTGCTTTAACTCTGTAACAATCATTTTATAATATGATAGACAGTCAGGTGAATAAATATGCAGTATATAAAATGATATTTCTTATAACCTGAAAAGGGATGTTTTTTTTTGAGGTTATGAAAAAATGATTTAACTTGTTGGTGCAATTATATTGTTTTCATTTTAACTCTGTAACAATCATATAAATAATTGCTAATGGAATTTATAATATGAAAAAACAATGTCTATATCAATGTTTATACATGAACTCTGGCTATGTACTTGCAATTTAGAACCTCAGGACCGTGAAGACATAAGCAATATGGAGATTCATGAGTGTAGACATTTTGTAATTTGCTTCAACTCTTTGCACTTCAAACGGCCATCAAGAATGAAAAAGAAAAATAGGCCGATCGTGAGGGAGCACGTGACCATCCATCAAACATCGAATCGTCGCAAAAATCCGATAAAAAAATTTCAATTTGTGTCGCGACGGTCTATCGGGAACAATAAAAGGGCATAGGTTTAGGTGGAAAATCGAGTGGGAAAAAAGGGAAATCGGGAATGTTTTGGCAGCGATAAGGGAAGCACGGTGTTTCGCGGAGAGGTCGCGGTGTTGCGCGCGTCGCGACGGCGCTCACGAACGGCCTTTAAGGTCGACGAGAGCCGACGACGGCAGAATCGCGCGAGCCACTGTGCCATTCGGACACCGACTCTTTCTCGCTCGTCGTTACGATTCAACCGCGTCGCGTATACTCGTCGATTCGTCGTCGATCGAGGACGTCGCGTTCTCGTCGATCGACCGTCCACTCGTGTCTCTCCAGTACGTCAGTGCTTCTTGTCCAGCTGGACCAGTGACTGTCGGTGCCGTTGTTGTTGTTTGTTGTTGCTCTGTTGTTCGCCGTTCATACATGCCGATTATTGTTTCCTGCGAATACGCGCTATTAGTGATAGATATCTGGTGGTGGTGAGCATCGATCGACGTGAACGAACAGTGATCAGTGTTGAAATCGAGGGAGACACTGAATCCTTTGGGAAATTTCGGATCTTTTGGAGGGGATCTTCGCCGGTGAGTGCCTTCTTTCACAGTAAAAATTTCTGTCGCGAAAAGTTTGTCAGTTATTTGGAGCAGTGTGGTCTTCTTCTAGTTCTCATGCTTCAAAACTCCGTCGCAGATTTTGTGGAATATTTTTTAATGATTTGAGATTAATTTCTGAGGCGAAAGATACTTCACTGAGGTGAAGATTCGGGATTTGTAATTTATTTAAAAGGGTGGTTCTCTAGCTTGCAACGTGGTTCAAAAGTTGAACAGTATTTTTTAGTGATTTAGCACTAATTTTCAACGCGTACTTTTATTCTCAAGATACAGATTTGTGATAAAATTTATTTGGAGGGTAGTGAACTCCATCTACCTTGGAGCGTGGTTCAAACCCTCAAGCTTCAAAACCTCCTGCAAAACCTAAAGCTTCAAAACCTCAAGACAAATATTTTGCGATTTAGAATTAGATTTCTATGCAAAAAAATACTATTATTGTTAAAACTCAAGGTTTGATATAAACTTTACTTGGATGGTAGTGCACTCTCCTTATACCTTGAAGCATGATTCGAAATCACGTCGCAAATTTTGTGCGATAGCATTGTTCAGTGATTTGTGATTAATTCTGTATGCAAAAGTTACTGTAATTTTCAAAGTTTTCGATGTAATATAGAATGTATTCAAAGGGGAGTAACTCCCTCTATGTGGGAGAGCGTGGTTCAAAACCCTGCCTCAAGTTTGTTGATCATGTTCCACTGATTTGTAGTTACTGTTTGATGCTAAATTATCATGATTTATGATCATGGATTTTATTTTATTTTAAAACCTGTGATTTTTAATATAATTAAATAATATTTATCCTGAACTTCTATTTATTGGGGAAGCATGATAATCACTTTTGATTTTTGATCGATTTTTAATTAATTTAAAAGATTTTATTAAACTTAATTCATTAAACAAATTCTTTGATCAACACTTTGTTATTAGATCATTGTTCTAATACCTAAAACAAAATTTATTTCGAATGCACTCTATTTTCCCTAAACGAAGAAAAGCATGATTTGAAACCTTTTCATTTATTATTTTACTTCTGTACAGCTTAACAGGAAAATTCATGGACCTCATAAAAGAGTTTCTTTTGAACAGTATACGCAATTTTTTATTCAACAATCTCCAGTGATTTTTATCGCTCTTTGACCAGTTAGGCTTTGAAACAGTATTTCGAGTAGATCGAATGTTTGTCCCTGTTGTATTTCAGCTTTTCAAATTCTTTGATCTATTATTCTTTTCTGATCACTTTGACGCGAGACACCGTTCTTGCAATCCATTTAGCGCGCGAAACAACATTTATTTCAAGTGTATCGCGCGCGTCCCTTGAAATTTACACGGATTCGAAACTGCATCTCGAATCGAATTCTTTGATTCGTTATTCTTTCAGTTCTTTAATCATCCTTCGACACGACAAAAGCTGTTATCGCAACGCTCCAAACAGCACAAAGAAACGTACTCGAAGCACGATTTACGCGGTGGAAAAATCACGAAACGTTCGCTCGAAATCGCCTTCCAACTTTGTTGATCTATCATTCTTCGCGTTGGCGGGTCTTTGACGCGAAAGGAACTGTTGCTGCATCGACGCAACCTTTAAAACGAAATCCACTAGCGGTAGATTGTGCGGTAGCTCGTGAAAATCGTAGATCTTTCGTAAAAATCGTGGTTCGTTGCAAGAGCGTGATTCGAGCGAGGATTGCATCTAACAAGCGGCAGACACGCACTTGCCTCTACTCGAGTTTGCCCGACAGCCTTCAGAACTCGTGTCGACTGACAGTCTTTCAACGAGCAGGGACGATGAAATAAAAAGAAAAAAAAAAAACAGAAAAGATCTTTCGGAGAATGACATACTCTCGGTTGAGAAGTTCATTCGTATTCGAACCCGGTCGCGCGAATGTGTAGGTGCATAAATATACGGACGCTTTGTTGCCATTTCTCTTTTACCAACCTTGAAGTCTCTTTTCCTGTCTGGTGCCTTGTTCTTCTTGTCAAATCAGTGTAATTGCAAAAACTTGCAGAAACTGTTATATTATATTAAATATCGTCGCGGTTTATTTAGGTCTCGACGCGTGGCGGTGTAATATTTGACCATACATGCGTGGGTGGATAATATGTTGATGTGTGATAGTTGGTTGGGAAATATTTTGTATACGATGGGTGGGAAAGGAACGTATAGGAACACAGCGCGTGGAAGTTCAATGCGTTGAAGTGCAATATGTAAAAGTTCAGAGAGTTGAATTTCAACGCATGGAATTATAGGTCATTGAAGTTCCACGCGTCGAATTACAGCCCAATCGAAGTTCCACGCTTCGAATTTCAAGGCGTCGAATTATAGAGCAGATGAAGTTCCACGCGTGGAATTACAAGGTGTCGAATTACAACGCAATCGAAGTTCCACGCGTCGAATTACAAGGCGTCGAATTATAGCGCGATCGAAGTTCCACGCGTTGAATTACAGCGCAATTGAAGGATCGAAGTTCCACGCGTCGAATTACAAGGCGTCGAATTATAGCGCAATCGAAGTTCCACGCGTCGAATTACAAGGCGTCGAATTATAGCGCAATCGAAGTTCCACGCGTCGAATTACAAGGCGTCGAATTATAGCGCAATCGAAGTTCCACGCGTCGAATTACAAGGCGTCGAATTATAGCGCAATCGAAGTTCCACGCGTCGAATTACAAGGCGTCGAATTATAGCGCAATCGAAGTTCCACGCGTCGAATTTCAAGGGATCAAATTACAGCGCAATCGGAGTTCCACGCGTCGAATTACAAGGCGTCGAATTATAGCGCAATCGAAGTTCCACGCGTCGAGTCACAGCGTAATCGGAGTTCCACGCGTCGAATTACAAGGCGTTGAATTATAGCGCAATCGAAGTTCCACGCGTCGAATTTCAAGGGATCAAATTACAGCGTAATCGGAGTTCCACGCGTCGAATTTCAAGGGATCGAATTACAGCGCAATCGGAGTTCCACGTGTCGAATTTCAAGGGGTCGAATTACAGCGCAATCGAAGTTCCGCGCATCGAAGTTTCACGCATCGATTTTTAGCGCAATGGAAGTTTCACGCGTCGAATTTCAGCGCAATCAAAGTTCAACGCGTTGAATCACAACCCGTTAGTACACAGCACGTTGAATTCCAACGTATGGAAATATAGCGCGTCAAACTCCCACCTATTAAATTTCCACTCGTCGAACTACAACGTACTGCATTTCCACGAGTGGAAATTTAACACATCATTGTTCCACGCATTGAAATACAGTATGACGAATTTCAGCGCATCGAAATAAAACATATCAATGTCCCATGCGTCGAAATACAACGCCTCCAAGTTCAACGCGCTGAAGTTCAGAGCGACGAAGTTTAAAGTCCCTAAGTTCAACCCATTGAAATTCCGCTCATTGAAATACAGCTCTCCACGATTCCACACATTGAAATACACCACATCAAAGTTTAGTATGTCGAAATACAGGGTGTTGAAATCCAACGTGTTAGAATTTAATGAAGTTCAGTGTGTCGAAAGTCTATGTACCGAAATTCGCAACAAAATGTAACAACTCGAAATTCAACGCATTGAAATACAGCGCATCAGCACACAACGCTGTCAAAGTATCAATTCACAGCGCATTACACAAGATATCAAATTACTGCAAACGTAGAAACTACAGAGTGAAATTACCTGAGATTGCAGGATGTATAATTAAATTACGAATACATCCTTTAGATAATGATATTAATTGGAATATCGCTTTGAATTGAACCTTGTCGGAGATTCCTGGAAACTTGTAGCGTTTCGTGGAAATCAATCGGCATTAATAGCATCCAAGACGAAACTGATTGACTTAACCAACGATAATTCCTTCGTTGGGCAAATTGCGCGGCTGTCGTGTACTTACGGTAGTATTTACAAACGACAAGGTCTACGTTCACGAGCCGCGACAAAAACGGTTTTCCAGCACGAGTATCTCCAAGTTTACCAGATTAATGTCTCGCTTTTTTCCCCCGACGTCAATGGAGCTTATTCTCTTGTTGACAACCGATTAAATTCGAATTTCATTGGTAATTCTGAGGTTGTTTCTTGCGTTCGAGTCTCGTATCGAGTGATCGAACACGACGATCATTGTGTACGTATCTCTCTCTCTTTATCTTGCCTCTGATAAACGATGCTGTCGTTTTCTCGCGATTTCTATGGGAAGCGTTTCCTTACGTGGAGTCCACTGAATGGATCATGCATTCGGGACACCGGTGAATTTATAGCGACCAGGCTTTATCGATGCTCTTATCGATGTGTATTCTCCGTGTACGATAAACTAAACGACGTTTTTTATTATCGAATATAAAGCTCAAATATTGAAGCTGATTATCCTCGAAAGGACACGTTTCCAAGTGCGATCCGAACGTAAACAGGAATATATCGAACTCGTGTTTTCTGCGTTGATTAGCGCCTGTTATGGCGGCAGCCATTATCTGTTGCGTTTCATTGCGAGATTAACGTGTTGCTGGCGCGCCATGTGGCTGACGAGCGCTCGTAACACTTTTAATAATTTTCAATCGCGCACGTCGGAGGAGTATAATCTCTTATTTATCAACCATGTGGTTACACGGCCTTTTTCAAGTTTTCCCGTATTTTCATTCTCCACGCTCAAATTAGAATCAGCGATCAAAGTTTCGCGAATAAAATACCTTCCCCGCCTAATAAATACGTAATCTATATTAAATGTACACAGCTTCCATTTTATGGAAGAGGTAATAAAATTCGCATGACTTTCTACAGAACTTGATAATTACAGCTCAAGGGAGAAACAGAGCGTGCAAACCAGGGACGTCGCGATTTTTTGTCGGCTACATTGTTAGCTGGCCAGTTAATTAAAATAATTAAAACATAAACAACATTTTACTCGTTTGTGGAACCTACGCTTTCAGCTGTATAAACGTCTGATCCAAAACAGATTCATTTTGCTAATGTTTCTGGCTGCGTTCATTGCT